CTGTGGGCACACTGGGTTAGCCAGCTCAAAGGGGCAGCCAATTGGGCAGCCATGGCACCACAGATGGCGTCGAAGTCTTCTATGGTGTGCTTAATCACCTCTTGGGGCAGGTCTGGGAACGCAACTCCCCTGAAGCTTAATTCTGCCAGTTCTATTTAGTGTAACCCTTAGAAGGACACCGATGTGGCGCGTATGACACTAACGCGCGCTAGAGGCCATTCGCTGGGAAGATTGGCGTATAATGCAACAGGGGGCACCACTGGTAAGTGGCTTGATGCAGCAGATTGTGTACCTTGTGTAAAGCCGGCTGGATCTGCACTGATGCGCTCTTCTTATCCTCGGTTGGCCTTCTTGGCATTGACTGTTTTTGAAACCGGTGCAGCTCTTGCAATTGCTCTCTGCTCCGATTGTGCCGTAAGCCCAGCGTTGGTCTCCTTCATCACCGAGGGCAATCTCGACAGTATTGACACTCTTGTGTGTGTCTTCTTGTCCGGGGTTTTCATCCGGCGAGTGGGGGTCTTCCTTAATGTCTGTTGAGACAGGGGTTTCAGCCAGGTTTCTCCGGCCGGGTGAGGAGAAGACACATACTGTTCCAACAAGTGGCTTCTGCACGTCGTCCGACCAAAGCAAACACAGCTAAAGCTTTGGTTGAGCCAGGTGACTTTCCAGCTTTGTGGCTGGATGGGTTCAGTCTGAAGCCAGCAAACCATCATTCAACACCAAACCTTGGGCATCAAGCTTTGCTAATTTCCTGTGGGCTCCATGGGCACAGACGCAAGAAAAAGTCCCAGGGCACGCTTGAAAACCGTAGAGACCGACCCGATTTTTGAAGCCAAAAACGGCCTCAAATTTGAGGCCAGTTTTGGCTTCAAACATTGAAAAATGGAAGCGTAGAAGGCAAATTTTGAAGCCAGAATTGGCTTCAAAGATCTGCTGATTTCTCATTCGCGGAGCTGAAAAACCGAAGCCACCATTTTCATTTTCTGGATGCGCAAGTGCG